AATGAAATAGGTAAGAGGATATTATGACATCATACAAATGGAATATATCGCTGCAGTTTTCATTTCCTTAGTGGTTTATCTGGACATTATAAATGTTTAAGCTTGCATTTTCATTAAACATAAACTTATTAAGTTAAAGTTTGTTCATTTGAATAATATGATAAAAATGACTTTGATATTTGTCAACATTAGGATTAGACCATTCAAATGGTGTATGAGATGTACTAGCAATAATGGTTTACAAGCTGATATTTTCCTTGATAAACGTAGGCTTCATCTATCACATCATAGTCTGTGGAAACTTGGTGTCATGGCAGTAAAAGCTTTCGGTTGGCTTGTGTTGAAAGAGTTAAATGGTTGATTGAAATGAAAATGAACACCCAGGATTTGGATGAATTGTTTTTCTTTAAATAAAATTTATTGGTATTTCATTACCTTGGGAAGTTGGGCCCCATCATATTTTCAGATGGCCATTGGCACATTGATCAAACTGTCTTTCCCAATCACTGACTAAGTATGGTGATCATATATTATCCAGTGCTTTTTGATGTCGGTTAGGGTCTGAACTGTTACAAACTGAACCTTAGCTTTATCTGACTGATATTAAGTGAAATGGGGATCACTGAGGATGCAGTACGAAGTGTTGTTCTGAATGACTGATGTTATTAGTGATACAGTAGAACACGGATATAGCGAACATGGATATAGCGTACAAACGGATATAGCGAACAAATTTAAAAGTCCCGTCAACAGTCAACAGTCATAGGCAAGTCAGCAAAGTAATTAAGTTATATACATGTATTGTTGATATTGTTGTGATTGTTAAACATGTTCTAGCTAATGTCTGTGAATGATAAATTCAGAATTTTAATGTTATGTCAATGTACATGTACAAGAATAAATATTTGTAGCCTCAGCATATACGTGTCTCTACATCTCTACAATCCAAGATGGCGGTCAAATGTGAATAACGAACACCGGATATAGCGAACTAAATTTCATGGTCCCTTGGAGTTCGTTATATCCGTGTTCTACTGTATATTGTATCTGAAATTTCAATTTGTGAGTCACATTGTGGGATGGATACTGTTGTATTGCAATTTATTGCAACAACAATTCATGTACAGCAATACTAACAAAAAAAACTGCCATGATATTTCTGGAATATTGCTAAAAGAGATGTAAGACTAAACTCGCTCACTAACAAAAATACATTTCATAAGTGCATTCATCAATATGTTTTGAACTTATGTGGTTAAATTTGTGATCCCACTTTTCCCAACCCTCCCAACCTATGTAACAAATTAGTGAAATTACTAATGTCACCTGCAATTTTCTTATCATCTTTTATTTTTTTTTAAATGAACCCATATGTTATACACTCCATGCACAATGCTATTGTTGTGTACCTTTCTTTGGATGGTGCTATGGACACAACTCTGGATGTCATGATACAGGTGACACATGATACCTCAATGTATCTCGATACTGAAGCAGTGATTATAGTATGTATCCTAATACTGCATATATACAACAACTTGTTTGGAAATCCAAGTTATCATACTGAAAATAAAGTATGAGCGAGTGAGTTTGGTTTTATGCTGTTTTCATCAATATTGCAGCAATATCATGGCAGGGGACACCAGAAATGGGCTTCACACATTGTACTCGTGGGGAATCAAACCCAGGGTCTTCGTGTGACCGGTGTGATAAAGCTCATGAAGATCAAGGAGAACAACTCCCACCTAACAGAAGATAGAAAGTTAAGCTTCTTGTTTAGCTAAATCTGTTTAGTTTATTTTTAGCAAATATACTGTGTCCTGTTGTACATTTTGACATTTCACTAAAGTTAGCAGTCAAAAACCAAAAGTTCTCACTATGCATGCTAACTTCATATTAACAGTACTACTGTTTTACACACTATATAATGATCAGAATTGTGTTGTTATCTAATCACTGTTAAGGTTACAGTATGTTGAGAGACATCAAGGAAAAGCTAGAAAGATCTTGTTGAAAAATTAGAAAAGAAAATTCCTTAAAAACATTTAACATCAGATGTTAAGACACATTTAAGGTCAGGATAACTTACACAGTTTTTTTCTATTCAATTCGCTTTGGCTATTTGTTTTGAAAATGTTTGGGGAAAAAAATGAATATTCTGTTCAAGATGTAAGAAACTTTCTGTTCAAACTCTAAGATGATAACCTGTAAATGATCTGGACCAGGCAAATCAGTTGTTTTAGTTGCAGAGGATACATGGAACCTTTCCTAGTTCTGGATCCTTATGGTTATCACCTTTAACAGCAATCAGCCCCCATAGTTAATCTTTTCCTATTTTTGACAATATTTCCTGTTTAGAGTTGCCTTCAAGAAATCTGTTGTTCTAGCAAATACTTGTCTTGCAGCAGAAAAAATACAAGCAACAACATGATATATTGAACACAAATTTGCCACCACTGTTTACCATTGACAGCAGCTACCTCACACAACACAAGTCACAATAATTTAGTGAATCATCGAAGACTGTTTCACGGATGGAGTACTGTTACAAACACTTTTCCGGCTTTGTCGAATTTTATACAGAAGACAGAATGCGAAAAAAAGATTCACGTCAAGTTGTGATTGAACATGTACATTATTTTCTACATGACATTGGATATGAAAAAGATTGTCTTGGTACCACTCTGGAACCTGAGGAAAACTTCATAAAGATATATTTCATAATTTTCAGATTTTAATTATCTGGAAGAATTTAAGCATCACCTATCCCTGGTGTTTTATATGAATTGAATTTCTTTCTGAATGGGCCAGAGGCCAATTTACAGGTTACAATTCAGATTGCAAAATATATAGCATAAGAGTGGTAATTTTAAGTGTGGTTGAACAGAAACTCAATGCTTCATGAACAAACCTAAAGGTTGTCCTTACTTCTAACATAAAAATTAACAAAAATGCAAATGTATCTAAAATGATTTCAAACCCAATTAGTCTTTGACTAAAGCTTCTGCAAAATAAACACTCTGGTAAAACAAACATGCATATGTCTTTAACACTGCACAGAGCATTAGTTAAGCTTTATCAACGCAGTCTGTAAATGCATGGAGCATAAATCAGATAAACCACTTACACTGTCACTATCATAGGTTGCTGAAGATTCTAACCTGGAATGACCAGTATCATCTCATCCATTATGTCATGTTGGGGATAAAATATGTATGGAAATGAAAGGGTCCTTATCCACCATGGGTCAACTTGAGGTAGCTCATTTGTGTCCAGTGTTACTTGTGAAATGACCAGATTTTAACAAAAATTGTCTTGTCCCTCTGGGTTTTCACTTGTCTCAAGTCATCAAAGCGACACGCAAAATGGAACATATCCAAAGAGGATAATAGTCAACACTCTTATACATTTAATCTGACAGTAATAGGGTCACTGGTCATTTTGTGTTAAATTAACACTGTCAACATGGTCAGACCATGTCAAAGACTTAATTTGTTATGTTTCAGATATTAATAAAACATCAAGTGTTGACTTGGTATTGTATTCGTTACACAATATCTGGATTCGTTAACCACTATTCGTGATATACATCATATTCGCTACACGGTGGATTCGTTGCAGCCCTATAGATTATCGAAATCACATCATCAATTTAGTTAATTTACTCACGCAATACATGAAGCTACATCTTGTTTTAAATCATGTTCAGGATACTGTTTTGTTCATAATCAAAGCATAAATATGTCACCACTGATGTGAAATATGATTTCTTTCAGATATATTTTCTTAAAGTAACTTCTCAAAGTAACTTGCATCAACGTTGGGCTCGGGACTAATCAATATTCACAAAAAGTGAAACATCAAATTAAACATTAAAAAGTAAGTTTCTTATTGTTACGTTTGTCACAGACAGTGTCAATATTTGAATAATGGGCTGTCATCTTTCTTGTTGTTGAGATAAAGTTGCCTTTTATAAGTAAGTGACATGTTTTATAATTCATGCAATTAATGATTGTCCTAAAGCATCCAAAAATGCAGAAGAGAAAGATACACAACACAAAGATCAGCACAAGGGACTAACCTTCATATAGATTTACATAGCCAAGTCAACCAACTGCTATATAATTATGTCATCTAATACTTTTCCAAACTAAAATTCATAACAAAACATATCAAATGTGGGAAAGAAATCTAGGAAATGAAAAGAGCGAGGTAATGACTTATATCACAAGTGTTACTGTAACCTCCATGTTAAATATTGACAGATTTCTTACAAATTCAAAATGCAAAGAAGCCTCATCTACAATCTGGCAGCACAATTTGTGGAGAATGTCTGTAGAACTGTCAATATAAAACCTTGTAGTGTCCCAAGAGTTACCTCCCTTGATTTAGCCTCTTCCTGTTTGGACTGTGTTTAATAAAATTGTACAGAAATAACATTATTTGAATAACAGGAACGCACAACCATACGTATTCATAAAAGCTTATTAGCCATGAATGAAGTAATATGTAAACATGCAAACAACACCTTCAGTATTGTCGATTATTGTCTCTTAACATCCACCAAAGTGTTGGTCGCCTGTAGAGTAAATGGCTTCCAGTTTGGCCAGATAAATCACAATGCATGTCTCTCAAAATTTCAACGCCAAAGTAGATAAGCGTTGGAAATCACTGACAACGTTAATGGGCAGACCGTTTGCGATTATCATATACCCTGAGACAAAACAACAAAAATACGACTCAAGAACACCTTTGATATCAACACCGGAACAAACTGTAAACAAACGGGACACTCGGTCAGGAAGGAAACCATACATTTACATCCAAACTAAGTATTTGACAGATACCGATGGCTTTGCAATGGCCGGCAGTCATACTTATGTAATTAAACAACACTATTCAAAAGGCATACCATAAAATATCAGCAATATTCTTTGCATAACAAACGAAAATGAGGAATTGAAAAGCATCACAACCATTGTAAATGACATGGTACTCACCTGTCTTATCGGTGTATCAGATTAAATCGTGAGAGATTTCGAGTATAAATCCTAGATGGATATAATCGGAAATGGTTATCCGATAGCTCCCGTCCCCATTTTAACTGTTATGTAAGAAACAGCTCTTGAATTTCCGTGTTTTGTGCCATGATCGTAACAATAACCCGCGCCAAAAATTACTGTAACCGAACAGCTTCCATGTTGACCGAAGTATTACACAAAATATAGGCCCAGCTTTTTTTCAGGATCTGCTTATAACAGCAAGCATCGGAAAATTTATGGTCTCGATCGTTTCATTTAAAGTATATGCACCAATCAAATGTTAAATTTATATAGTTTATTTGTCAGAAAGCCTCGTGAAAGCGTAGTAATTGACAAGGTGCCCTAAGTGCGTCTTTGGAAGTAGTGCACTGTCCATCAGACGAGGCTTACAATGATAGTACATTCGGAACAACTAATTTTGCAAACGGATATTCCAAAATGAGTTGCAAGACGTAGTCATACCATCAAGGTGATCGAGGGACATCATAAAATACATCAACCATAGGCGGAATCAGATTGGGGTGGGAGGGGTTGCAAGGGTGCGCACCCCACCTTTGTCCTGAAAGTTTATTACATGTATATGACCCGTGAAAACGGGTGAAAATGAAGTGTGCACCACCCCCACCCCACCCCGTTCTCAAGATCGAGTGTGCACCCCCCTTTTCAAAAAGCTCTTCCGCCCCTATGAACTATTACTACCTATGATGAATGACACTTAAAACATATAGATAAATTATCGACCAAGACCACTTCAACACACAGATAGGTTGTTTCATCTGTATTTTACGCTCTAGATTCTCAGCTATCTCGTTTGGAGCGATCTCAACAATCACCAAGTTGATCCCTTTTCAGATATACCCCTGACTGTTTAATGCTAGTGGCCACCCGTATGAAGATGACTTATTATCTGCTGGTATTGATCGAAGAATTTTGGGAGGCGATGTATATTATTATAGTAGACTTTTATTTTTGTTCGGGTCTTTATAGAAATCGAAGCCCGGACTCATCTTCACATAGCTACCAAAGAAAATAATTTCTAACAGCTATCAATCACGTCATATAATCTAGATATATTCACCAAGTGGAAATATTGAAAATAAAATTAAAATTCCAAGTCAACGATGTATCTCTGTTCGAAGCGATGGAACCGAGACACACATGCTATATAGGTACGTATACTCACCAATCAAATTTAACGAATAGAACATTGCTATGAAATGTTTCCGACAGGAAAACGCAGTATTATTAATCCATCAACAGACCACCACGTTGCGACACATCGCCAATAACCAGCTGGAAGGGAAATAGTGCTGAACCTCCACGGGTCAAGGCATGGCTCATCTCGTTGTAAACAGTGCATGAAACTTCATGAAAATGGTTGGTCGTAGAGTGTTTGTTGTCGGTGTCGGCATGACCAAGGTGATTTGCATTTAAGATGGTGACATTTTTGTCAGCTTGTGAAACATTTCATTTTATATTTCATTGTTTAGATTGAAATTGTGCCTTTGATTTTAAAATTGTGTTTCTAATAACGATCTTTGTAGTGGTGGAGAGAGTGGACTTTGAGTTACATGATAAACGTACTGGTCATCATGGTGTTTCACTTTATCATGAAGTAACTGTTGTGATAGATGTCACTATTTGTTTTTGAACTTTTCAAACTTTGAACTTTTGAAGTGATTTCATGATGGGGAAAGAAGCAGAATGCAAACATCGCCAGAGAACATAAAAATCCATTTTCACAAATAAATACAGGATCTATTATGTCCTAATCATAAATAATAATAGTGTATTGAATAGAATCAGGCTCCATATATAGTGTTTAGGAAATATTCTGTTGTTGAGCATTTGACCTTTTTGCATAGCTGCTACATGTGCATAGGTAATAACTTGCTCAGGCTTTTACGAAAGTGTTGACTCAGTTACAAATTAGGGGCGGTGGGGTAGTCTAGTGGTTAAAGTGTTGGCTCGTCACGCCAAAGACCCGGGTTCGAATCCCCACATGGGTACAATGAGTGAAGCCCATTTCTGGTGTCCCCCGCCGTGATATTGCTGGAATATTGCTAAAAGTGGCGTAAAACCAAACTCAGTCAGTCAGTTAGTTACAAATTAGCTGTCATGAAGAGCCAGGTTAGAACTGGTTGTCAGTCAGCCATGTTTGTTAACTAACAGCTTCAGGTGGTCAGGTATACAGACTTGGTTAATACATGTTATCACATCCATTCCATCCCATGATCAATGCCAATGATGTAAATCACTATTTTGTCTGGTCCAGACTTGATTATTTATAGCCTTAAAGGTGGAATAGAGCTGAGTGCAGCATTAAACAGCCAACATTACAATATATGCACTTTCAATGAAGCTTTGTAGAAATTACAAGGCAATAATATAATACACCTATATGCCATATTTCACAATGGTACAGGTGGACACTCAGCAAAGCATGTAAAAGTAAAAATAATATTGAAAGTAACTGTAAGCAATGAAACTCTAACTTAGGATATATGCAGACCTTCTGAGAGGCTGATATTTGGCCCCAACACAGCAGCAGCAGATGTTAATGACATTTCCCAAGTTGTTATTAGAATTTCACACTTCATGTAGTTGTACAATTGCTGATGTCATGGTTTTGTATAAGTGCCCTGTATGTATGTATGTCCAGTTTCAGGACCACAAAAAGAAGATGTAGATAAGAATCAGCCTTTGTCAAAGTTACACTTTCATGCAACAATTTTGCACAATGTACACTTGAGTATAACTGCTATTTTATGTATTGTGCCCAGGAAAATCTACATCGTAGCACTTCAGGTGACCGAACAAGGAATAAAATTTGTTAAAGAAAATGTTGAAATTGGGATTAAACATCACTGGCCATTATATGAAATCTCTGAATTATATATCATATTGACGCCTTGCAGGTTTATGATTGTTCAGATTCTATCAGCAAACAACTGATGTTATTTTATGAGTGAAATTTAGGTTCCTGTTGCATTGAAAAAGCCTAAAATTATGTTCTCTTTTTTTTAACAAATATTTTAATGCTCTGAAAACAAATAAAGGTTTTAGTATCTCTTGGTTACACATAAAAAAAAGTAGTATGAAAATTTTCTCTGAGCTATCAAGTTTCTGCATGTTCAGTGGACTACAATTAAGCTCAACGCAGTTATTCCCCCTTTGCTTGGTGCTCCTGTTAGCCTCTCTTCTGCTATAAATGTTTACATCCAGTTATTAATTATATCATTTGTGTCATTGATTTATGTCATTATTTTGTCAGATAGGGCAATAAATTGTTCACTCACACTGAACATAATGCCTCCCAAACATTTTTATCCCACTTTATATTTATCCGTATTATTATGCAAAACAGCATCGTAGTAAATATTCAGCACTTGTTTTTACTATGCGATATTTGCAATTAAGATTATACCATGAGATACAAATTTCAGTATTCTACATCACTAAATTGCAAGTCAAAATCTGGTTCAGTGTCACACAACTGAAATTTTTGTACAATGTTCAGAAATGAGACCAAAGTTGTGTGAAGTCAAAATTGTACCATGTGGATGTTATTTCATATTTGTTTTGGGTTTTGTGCACTTTTTTTTGCCTTGGTTAATTTGTTTTAAAATCTCAAGATGACATTGGTAGCCACAGTGGTAACTGCAAACAATTATATATATTTTAGATACATAGAAAAAGAAGTGATATTCAACAAGGAGTATATTTTAAAAAATGATTTTCAGTTTGAGAAGCCTGGTCGACGAGAAGATTTCGACTACCCTAACATGGCGAAAGAAGCTGGTGAGTGAAATTTCTGAAAATATGAATACTTCACAATCTGTCTGTATTTGTAGTTCTAGTTGATCAGTATGGGTGGTCAGTTCTGCCAAACTCGACTCAGTTTTGATGGTTTTTGGTTGTCATTCTACATTCATGACATTATGGGTGTCAGTACAAGAAAGAAAGCACAGAAAAGTCTGATAAAGCTCAGTTAATAATAGTCCATGGACATGATAACACTACTACCTAAGGAAAATGAGGTTAAGAGCTTTGTTTTTGGATTGTAGACTAAATAGGTTTGGACACAGACTGCTTTACTGGGAACATTGATACTATTACTAACCCAAAGAGAGATACCAATAACATCAGACTGGGCTGGAGGCATGCTGATTGTGTTACAAGGTATAACGTGTGATGACTTCTACTGGCTTTCAGGGTACAAATAACACTAGGCAAGCTGGATGGGTTACAATATATGATTTGCCTATCACCTGAGAATGTTTTGCTGTGTTCAAAATGACCCTTGGGTGTTTGAGCTAGCATTCTACATCATGGATGTGATGTAATAATAATAATAATAAAAGGATATTTCTTATGCGCCATAGTCCATCCAGAGCATGCTCAAAGCGCTACAAATAAAAAGAGTCACTAGAGTTCATGAGGAAGATTTGACAGTTCGTCAAAATGACCATGAGAATATTTCGCAGTTATAGGTTGTAGACCTTTTTGAAGAGGAAGGTTTTGAAGTCCCGATTTGAATGCTTCTAAGGATGAAGCATTTTTGATGGGAGTAGGAAGACTGTTCCACAGGGTTGGTGCTGTACTATACAGAAGGTTAATCCTGTCAAAATCTTTAACAATGTTGCAACAATATCTTTATTTTCATGCAGAAAATAAGGAGAAAAAGTGTTTTCCACTTTCAATGTAATCTATAATCAAGTGACTACACATTACAATTACAGATTTTAACAGGATAGAAATAACGACAGAATAGGATATTCAACTGAAATCAGGACTACACAATAGTGTTAATTTCAATGGTGTTACTAGATGTAACAGTTGGATTCTTGGTTTACATTGCTTAAAAGTCTGATACCTTAAACATACTATGCATTTGGAACATTCATCACCAACTTCATGCTGGAGCATGACATCCTCAAATCTTCACATATAGAGGCACATTCCAGCTTCTTCTTTTTTTCTTTTTTTTAATCTCCATACATCCAAGTCATACAGTTCATTACATAACGGGTTGGTATAAACATGATTCGCAAATTTATACAAAGTTGATTTACAGGCAAAGGTGCTTTGAGGTGGAAATGAATAGGTACTTGAAAATATATATAGCGCTAGATTAACAGAACAGATTGTGACATAGTGACCAAAATTATGTGAAGCTGTCATATTTGCAATTTGAGTAGGCATTAAAACGTTCAGCATAATATGTTGTCTTTACGTCTTCTATAATGTAGTTCAAATTTGGTGTTTTATCTCTTTGTTTCATTTTGTATATAATATATTTCACTACTGTTATTATCAAATTCAGAACATGGTTTCTCTTTTCACAATATTCTAGAATAATATTTTTGTTTGAAAAGATAATATTTGATCCTGTGTTTTTCGAATATCCATTCTTCTATTTTCTTCCAAATAGTTTTTATGACTTTACAGTCACAAAATAGATGTAAAACTGATTTTTTCTCGGATTTGCAAAATGTGCATGTGTTGGAATCTTTATTTTTCATTTTTGTTAGCAAATCATTTGTTGGCAGAAACCAATGCAGTATGCTGTATTGAAACCAAGAGTGTTTTACACTATTATACGATTTAAAGGTTTATTCTATCGTTTCCCATATGTTATTGTCAATAGACTCATTAAGTTCTTTTTGCCACTTGTTTCGATATGTTAAAGGTTTTCTAGATTTTCCATTTATGAGTATGTCATAAATATCTCTACATCCTTTTGGGTTTCCTACTATATTTCGTAAAAGATAGGGCAAAATCGGAGCTTGGATTTTCTCTTCAATATGGACGTTTATGGATTTGCAGTAGTATTTAATTGATTCTACTATTCCTTGACGCTCTAGGAAGTTAGTTTTGCACCCAAATGATTTTTTTAATTGTTCCACCGTTAAAAAGTTACCTTGGGCGTCAAACATATCATTTATATAAGTAATCCCATGCTTGAATAATGTTTATAATTGATTGGTTTTCCATCCATCTTAATAATTGTCAATTAACCATAAGGGTTGGGATAAGATATCACATGCATTTTTTGCATTTTCTGCTTTTCTGGTTACAAATTTACCCCATGATTTCAAAGTGTCTTTCCAAAAGTGATTTGTTTCTTGTGTTATTACTGATTCAAGTTTGTGTGTTTCACATGTTTGTATAAAGCTGTCAATGTTACAATGTGTCTTTGTTTGTAGCAATTTCCTTACTTTTGAATCTGAGTTGGTGAGTCTTTTAATCCATGATATTTTTTGCGATTGAAGAAGAATATTATCTCTGGGGCTCGTATTCCTTCGTATTCATAATTCTTTGTGATAGTTTCTCGACTGAATTTGTCTGGTTTGTTTTTCCATATAAATTTATAGCAGAGCTGCTCAATTTCCTTAATCGACACGTGAAGACCTGGGGTAGAATTGGTCTTCAGCAAACCATGCTTGCCATAAAAGGCGACTATGCTTGTCGTAAGAGGCGACTAACGGGATCGGGTGGTCAGGCTCGCTGATTTGGTTGACACATGTCATCGGTTCCCAATTGCGCAGATCGGTGCTCATGCTGTTGATCACTGGATTGTCTGGTCCAGACTCGATTATTTACAGACCGCCGCCATATAGCTGGAATATTGCTGAGTGCGGCGTAAAACTAAACTCACTCACTCACTCACTCAATTTCCTTAATCCTTTGATCATTTGGGTTGGGTAGAGTTACAAATAAATGAGTTGCGATAAAGTAAACTTTTCAATATGGTATTTCTACCTAAGGGAGTTAGATCTCTTGCTAACCATTGATTCATTGATATTTTGAGAGTCTTAAGTTTATCTTTATTGTTGCGTTCAACCATTTCTGCGATGTTGCGAGTAAATACAATTCCTAAATGTGTAAACAGGTCAATCTTCCAGTCTAGATTCCAGTTTCTGCAAAATTTTCTTCTTTTTTTTTTTTCTGAGCCTATCCATAATATCTGTGATTTGTTTATATTTATGTTTAAGCCTGAAAATGGGGCATATTTACTAAGAATTTCTAATGTCGCCTGTAAACATTTTTCAGTGCCATCTAGTATTATTTCTAATCATTGTTGCCAAAATTTCTGAGCACAGTATAAAATATAAGAGGAGATGGGATTTCCTTGTCTGCATCCTCCTGAGATATTGAAATAATTTTAAAGGAAGCCATTTACAACTACACATGATAATTGAATGTTATTTAAGAAGGTATTTATCCATCTTGTAATTGATGGCACATTCCAGCTTGACTCAGTAATGAGATATAATCATACTAAGTCATCCTTATTATCAGGTCTCTGTAATAGTTTTCACAGGTGACCTGAAAATCTGTGTGTCATGTGTTAGTTATGACAAGGAATATTTGCAAATGTGATTGTTGAGACCACAGAAATTGGTTTCTTATGTGTGTATTTTCCTTCATTATGTGGAGGTTTTCATGCACATGAAACTGCAGTTGTATCACCATGATCACATGATGGAAACAGTGGATACCAGCATTACTCAACCCCCTTTCTGGTACTTGGCACATTGTACTGCTTACTAAACTTTCTTCTTGATATCTCAGGTACCAAAGCTCTTCAAGATGCAGGGATTTCCTTTGACAAGATAGAACAGGCTTGTGTTGGCTATGTTTATGGTAGGTACACATTTTGTTAGATTACAAAGTTTTAGGGCTGCAATGAATCCACTGTGAGGCAAATATGATACATATCACGAATATTGAATAACCAATACGAAGATTGGTTTAAGAAATACAATAACAAGTCAATAGTTGAAATATTATTCAATATAATTCTCAGGGTTTGATGTTTGTATGGTATTTGATCTCTTTAAGTAACATGCCTGCTGTATTCGTTTGCAGGTGACTCAACATGTGGGCAGAGGGCAGTGTACCAACTGGGCATGACTGGTATTCCAGTGTACAATGTGAGTACTCACAGTTGAGAAATACTCTTACTACAAACTCTCACATAGTTTTGCAGAGGTCCTTAAGATAAGCCAGTGTGATCCAGGCAAATCACATTACATATTGGATTCAGTATCACATGACAGCTGCTTCATGGCCCTAGTTGAGTACTGTGATGACAGGGTTTCTAGTTGCTGGTTGATTATAGCTTTGGAAACGATTGACCTGAACACCTTCCACTAGAACCAATGGTCATCTTCCAGAAGTAGTGAAGGAAGAGGAGTGGATCCAGAGGGTTTAACATGTTTGAATTCCTCTGACACCACTGACCCACCAAACCTGTGACTCTGCATATTTCTGCATAATGTGTATTTCTGTTAAGGCACATGTATTTCTGAAGGAAAACCAAGTTTTTGGATAGTCAACTTCTTTATTGCAATGGGTGCGACGTTTCGGTGTAAGTACTAACACCTTTATCAAGCACGCCCTTTGATAAATATTCAATAAACAATGAATTAACTAACTGAATTAACATCAGACATCTTGCCGACGACAGCCTATATACGAGGCAAATTTGTACATACTTTGCTGTTTCGTTACCAAAATTGACCGTTCGGATACGGAAACCGAACATTCGGATATACGAGGTAAATTGTAATTAGAAAATTTCATTTTTTTGTGAAGAATGTTTGGAAACCGAGGTATTCAGATATCTGAAGTTCAGATATATGAGGTCTGACTGTATTATAAATATTTCATTCTTCTTTAGTGACAGGGGACACTGCCATATTAGTGGCAAACACTTGTCTTTCATATCATTTAAGAATGTGTGTCTGTGTCTAATAGTGTCCATTTGTGTTTATCTCTGTACAGGGTTTTATGTGATGTGGAAATATTCGTCCAATACGAAAATATGTATAGAATGGACACAGAAATTTATATATATTGTGTCCCCTGGGGTGTGCAATAATATTCACTGTTCAAGAAATAGAAAGTTGATGTCATTAAAGTGATCAATAAACCTTACAGTACAGTCTGCTACATCATTACCTTACAGGGCCCTCAGATTTTATGTAAGGACCCTTGAAATTAGTATGGGCCCCAAATTGTGTTAGTCAAGGTAAAACCCTGCTGTGTATGGTATGTGTATGTTTTATGTATGAATGAATGTGTATCCATGATATAACCAGGTTTTTCTCTGTCTGGTGAACTACAGGTGAACAACAACTGCTCCACAGGCTCCACTGCGATCTTCATGGCCAAGCAGTTTATTGAAGGAGGTAATATCACTTCTAGTTATTGTCTTACAGTCTTTGTTCCTGATCAACACTCTGAAGGGAGGACCATCTCCGTGGTGTAGTGGTTAGAGCGTCCGCCTGGAAAGCGGAAGGTCACAGGTTCGATCCTCAGCCGCGTCATACCAAAGACGTTAAAATATGGTACTTGTTGATCCATGCCTGGCACTCGGCACTAATGGGTACAACAAGGACTGGCCAGCTCGGAGTCAGTATAATGTTTCTGAGTGGGGTATTTATGCTTGGCAGTATGGTATCTCAGTGAGCTAGCACTATAAAACCAGCTTAAGTCTGGGTGAGTACAAGCCACACATACACACACATGAATGTTGTCATATGAGCAAAATATTCTTAACTATGACCTTACCTCACCTCTTAGGGTAGGTGCAACTTGAGGTATAATGTATATATAGTGAACCATCTGAGAGAGCGATAGCTAGGTGTGTTGATTTACCTATCAAAGATCTTACACATGGGATACATCAAGTTCATCTGAGAAATAGTGATGGAGAATCTGCTTAGCTGCTTAAGCTCTACACCAAGTTCCTGTGCTCACTGTTTGCTGGTATATTTGACTTAACTACATCACCACACACGAAGCCCTACTGAAGGAAGGACAGAGGACTGGAAGTAAAATTGTCTCTTTGCAGGTCTTGCTGATTGTGTTCTTGCTCTGGGCTTTGAGAAGATGGAGAGGGGATCTCTGAAAAACAAAGTAATGTCATTTGTCTATATCTCTCTGTATCTCAAAAACAAAGAATAGTAACTTTTCTTATCTACAAAACAAATTGTTGCCACTTTTCTGTGAATCTGAAACAGAGTATTGTCACTCGTCTGTACATTCTAAACAAAGTACAGTGACATCTCTGTAGCTCTCAAACAAAGCAGTTTCTTCTCAGTATCTCTAAATTTGAACTGTCACTATCCTCACTATTATTTTAACTTAAACTTTTCCAACAATTTCACACATTTGTGGGGAGGCAGTTATATCCAAACGAAATTAAATACAATGATTGGTAGGATCCTATTTAGGTGAACTATGAACAATGATATTGTTGGCTGATTTTACTAGTACTCTATCACTCACCATTAGACCTATGTAAATCTATAAGATTGATAATGCTGCATTTGGAATATAGTATGGTCCCTCTGGCAATGATGTCAACATTTGTGAATGGATAAGATCATCTATGTCTGTCTTTATAATATGCAGTGATAAATAGTGGAATGGATGCCTTTCTTCAACCTCACAAGTAGTCCTACATCGTTTTGTGTTGCAGTATTCAGATCGCACCAACCCAATTGACAAGCATGTGGAGGTTATGATGAACACATTCGGCCTTGAGGCAAGTCCGGTCTCTGCTCAAATGTTTGGAAATGCTGGCCGAGAACATATGCAGAAATATGGTAGGAGAATAAAGTAACATGAGACATGAAAGTGGATATGATTCACACTATGTCATATCGTTTGTACGGCATACAGAGTAACTATATTCATTTTCAAGTTGCTGACCAGAATACCATAAGATGATTTGGTTTTAACTAATTTGTACATGATATTTGAAAGATATGTATTTTCCTCTATCCTGATTCATACTATTTGCTTCTCTCTCCCTTGTCCCGAAATACAGTGGAAACATGCATGGTGGTGGGGTGCGTTTGGGTGAGATGTTTTATACTGTTCTTGGGGAAGATAACACAAAATGTTTCCACTGTATCTCAGGTTGAGGGTGAGAGAAGCAAATAGTATGAGTCAGTATAAGTATAAAATGATATTTTTATCTTAAAAATACATGTTTATGTTGGTGTACTAGAGGTTCTTGTTTCTTTACTGATCTGGAATATTGATATTTGTTACAGGAACAAAACCAGAACATTTTGCAAAGATTGCATACAAGAACCACAAACATTCCACAAATAATCCGTAAGTAAATGATACTGACATCACATTCATGAATATATTATTTTTCCTTATCCTGACTCATGCTTATTTGCTTGTCTTCTTCTTCTTTGTGAACTTAGTGGAACACTTGTATCTCCTTATTGAAGCTCCCTTCAATAAAAACGTGCGTAAAATCACTAATCACTACTCACCAAGAGTTGTCCCTCCTTCCGTTTACGCGGGAAACTGGCGCCACTGTTTCACACATGCTTCACTCTCTCCTTCTTCGCCCAGTGAGCAGGTTGTGAGAGCGCCTGTCTCCTTACGGCACTATATCCTTTGATTATTTAGTTAGTTACCTCTAGTAATTCCTTATAGAGGTTTTGCTAGTATCCTTCATTAATATGGTTTGATAATTATTCGTATTTCTTACTGTTTATTCGCGGGTTATTCTGTGATTGTTCAGTAGTCTGCGTTCATGAAAATCTGTTCCATATGCAAGTTACGTTTCTCTGCTGCTGACCCGCACCTAATATGCCCTAGTTGCACTGTACCATGTTCTTTCAGCTCACGTTGCAGTGTCTGCAAACCCTTATCAACTTGTGCATTTAATAAACATATTCTTGGTGTTTTGAGACGTGCTGCTGATAGGTCGCTTAAGATTGTCCCAGTCATGGAGAACTCGGCTGAGTCCCTCACCGGTCTACTGCTGTCGGACGACCCCCTACCGTCTGGTGTTCAGCTAGAGTTTCCCTCGGAGGAGAGGCGTGGGACGCAGTCCGCCACCTCCAAGAAGAGACCTGCATCTCAAGACATCCCATCGTCGCAGCCCAAGACTAGGAAGTCGTCTACCACCCAGCGTAAACTGCGCACCCCTAGGGCAGCGTCCAACACCAAGGAGAAGTCACAGCCTGCTAGAACTTTCTCGGCCGAGATCGTTCCCGTCGCAGAACAGGGCCTTTATGATGATCAGCCGATTATCATCCCGGACATTCATCACAATAAACGACCGTTCTCAGCTACAGTGACGTCAGCGCAGATCCATGGTCAACCCGATGTATCAACGCTGACAACAGATGATCGTCCCATAGGGCCCATCGCCACCACCGCAGATAGGGCAGCATTGGTACCACCGCAGACCTTCCCGGGCGACTTCATGCAGCAGTTCTCCCAGCAAATCATGGAAATGATGGAGCAACGCTACAGCCTGGAAAAGAGACAGTCTGCACAAGGTCCGACCCTTCGCTAAGGCTCCAACGTAGACAACACATCTGAGGCACCTGCCACCAGCCAGACGTCTACCAACATCACGAGGACCTTCGCGAAGGACATCACAACTTCAACGGACCAGCCTCCGCAAAGATCGACACAGTCAACCCCTGTGGAGGACCCAGATGATCAGCGTTCGCGAAGACTTTCGCGAAGGGCTACACAATCTTCACCTACTACGGACTCAGATGATCAACGGTCACAGAAGCGTTAACGGAGGAGGAATCGTTCATCCCCGGAATATGACTCGGACCAGCCTTTGCGAAGGCCAAGCCGTCACTCCCCAAGTGCGGACTCAGATGAAGCTTAGCGAAGGCCTTCGCGAAGGACATCAACTACAGTATACAAGACATCTTCGTCCCATAGATTGTCAAGGGACTCACCAGGGCCTTCGCGAACCTACAGGTCTCCCTACAGGCACAGTTCGTCAGGCCACTCACCACGTCGTTCCCCTCGCCGATCTCCTCGCAGATCCCCACACAGGTCTTCGCGAAGGTCTCCACGTAGGCATCCACACAGGTCACCACGACGTTCGCCCTACAAGTCTCCGCGCAGGTTTCCACGTAGATCGCCACGGTCACATAGGACTCCACCTAGTTCACCATCGGAGGAATATCAACATCCCATTCTCAGCGCTCCGGTTACAGAAGATGATGGTGGCATAATTTTCTCAGACTCTGATATACGCTACTGGATGGCTAACGGGTTGGACTTGGCTTCTCCATCTAAAGACGATAATCCGGCGCACACCTATCTTATGAGAGATGACGACGTTGACACGCTCACTCTACCTCCGATCGATCCCATCGCAACGGTTTCACAGAACTTGGACACAGCTTTCAAGACAGCTACTAAAGCCCAAGTGCCACACTTACCACAGTTCAACGCCAGGAAGTTCTCCACACATAATATGGACTCCTTCCTTAAAGCTCAGGATATTGACGACAACTTTAAAGTAATTAACGATGCCAAGGCCAAGTCTTACAAGATTGAGGACCGCAAGCTGACTCAAGTAGAATCTATGACCAGAAGAATGTTCTTCGGCCTCAACAGATCTCGCACAGTCAACGAAACGCTCATCGCTAAGTTTCAAGACTCCACGGCGGAAGAAGACAGAATGATATACTCAGCCCTTCTCATGCAGAAGAAGGACCAACAGTTCTTGACTAATCACCTTTCATCCATCGCCGCAGCGTTAACTTTAGCTCGTCGTCAAGGTCTCCTCGCCTCCTGCAGTTGGAGTAAACAATTTACAGCGCCTCTATACACAGCCCCGTGGTCAACTCCTTCCATCTTCGATGGAGAAATCGACAGAGTTGCCAAGGAAGTCACTAAAGATTCCAGGGAAGTCTTAATGATTAAGTCCATGGACACTCTGGCCAACGTCATCAAGCATACAACTCAACGGTACTCGGGAAGATCCAAGTTTCCGGGATTACAGAGGGCACCTGACAAGAAAGTGACCAGCTTCAGAGGCGGGAAGGACTCTTTTCGTCGCCCATTCGGCAACTACAGGGGAGGATCCGGGCGAGGCAGGGCACCCAGAGGTCCCCGGAATTATCGACGATGAAAGACGGGTTCGGAACGACTGGTGTCTTGCACCCCCAGCCGTTCCTGTACAACCTTCACAAGTGGGTGGACGTCTACAACGCCACTGGGAAAACTGGGGAATACTACAAGATCCTTACGTATCCAACATCCTAAGACACGGATATCGCATCCAACTACAGGCCGAACCACCGTTGACAGTCAACCCACACAAGTTCGACTGCTACATACAACAGATAGAGAAGTTACGAGAGGCTGTCTCATCTCTTCTAACCAAGCAGGCCATAGAAATCGTGGATCAAGTCAACATATAACCAGGTTTCTACTCCCCAGTTTTCCTAGTGCCAAAGAAAAATTCCAAGGAAAAGTTCCGACTCATCTACAATATGAGCAAGTTCAACAGGGATTATTTAAGCAGACCTCCCAAGTTCCGCATGATACATCTATTTCAACTAATCCGTCTCGTCCGTCTGATGGACTACATGGCAAGCATAGATCTACAGGATGCCTACCTGCATATCCCGATACATCCCGACTCGAGAAAATACCTCAGATTTACACTAGACGGTCTACATTACCAATGGAGGGTCCTGCCATTTGGAATATCATCGGCCCCCTGGTTGTTTACAAGAGTAACAAAACCCGTAGTTATATATCTACATCATCGAGGGCTACGCAATGCATTCTACCTCGACGACGGGATTCAAGTAGATCAAGATCCAGACCATCTCAAACTACAACTGAATTTCACCATCAAGCTACTCACTCAGCTAGGTTGGTTAGTGAATCTACTCAAGTCGGACCTACAACCTACGCAGGACCTACAATTTCTAGGCATCAGATTTCTCACGACGCAGAATCGTGTCATCGTACCAGAGGACCGATGGCTCAAGATTCAACAGACCATCCCTCAAGCCTTACTCTCTCCGTGTTCACTACGACAGTGGCAGAGTCTGTTGGGTCTCCTCACAGACTTGACAGCCAGAGGCAGACTACAGCTACGCCCATTACAGATCCTCATCAATACTCATCTCGACGACCTACAACCCTTCGGTCTACCGAATCACCTCAGACCTCATCTACTATGGTGGACCTGGAGGTCGAATGTTTGCGAAGGCACCTATTTAGCAGAGCCGGAATTCAAGACCCATCTATACGTAGACGCGTCACTCCAAGGTTGGGGAGCACATCTCGACAACCATGTGGCATCCGGAATATGGAGTCAGGAATAGAAATGTCTACATATCAACATGTTGGAGATGAAAGCAGCCATCAACGCCATACTCCATTGGAGCACCATTCTACAGAATGCGCATCTCATGGTACACGCAGACAACTCAACAGTGGCGTTTTATATAAACAAGCAAGGCTCAACAAGATCATTGAACCTACTACATCTCTGCTTTCAACTGTTCGACCTAATAGACGATCTGAACATCCATGTAAAGCATGTCACATTCCAGGAGCCAAGAATGTCCTAGCAGACGCACTATCCCGTCCAGCTCTACCATCGCCGACAGAGTGGATGCTCCATCCAGAGATATTCACACAGATCATAAAGAAAATAGGAGCTCCGTTAATAGACCTATTCGCCACACGCTTCAACAATCAGTTAACAACATTCGTCTCTCCAGTCCCAGATCCACGAGCGTGGGCAAGGGACGCTCTCAGCATATCCTTGGAAGGCCTAAACGCGTACGCGTTTCCTCCGCCAGCGCTACTACCAAAGATATTACAGAAAATCAGTCAGACAAAGAGCCTCCAACTGATTTTGGTCGCTCCTTACTGGCCAGCGAGAACGTGGTTTCCCATTCTCATAAAAGAACTCGGACCACCAAATCTGCAACTACCACAGCGATCGAATCTACTAATACATCCTCACACAAAACAAGCGCACAGTTACCCAGAGGCATTCCAACTTCACGTGTGGACTGTATTAAGGCATGTTTAAACAAGAGAGGTTACTCAGCCAGAGCGGCGAAAGCAGTCACGCTTGCTTTACGCAATTCGACACGCAACTTGTACGACGACAAATGGCGCAGTTTTGAGACTTACGCTGCTACAAAAGGATTTACAGCTAGAAATGCTAAACATCCTCAAGTGGCAGACTATCTTTGTCACCTACGACAAACCAAACATCTGAAAGGTTCTACACTCTCAACATACCTAGCAGCGTTGAGTTCAGTGATAACTATGAGGACGGGTGCAAAATTAACAAAGGTACC